CGTTGTGTTGTGATATGCGTCAATTAGCAATTCAATCATCGAAGCGAGCAACAATAGAAACGACTAGCATCGAGTCCGTTGTTTTGTTCCGAATAACACATTGCGGTATCGGCGTGTTTATTTTGCTCGTAGACGTCGCGTCATGAAATCATTTGCATGCATTTCGCTGTGCAATCTCAACGTCATCGCCGATATTTGCGACATCTTCAGCAATAAGGTCAATCAGTAATCGCATATCAAGATGTTTTAACAATAGTACATTGAATTGTTTACTTTTTATTTATTCCTTTAACTTAGATAATATCGGAAAAAAGTCGAGAAATATTAATAGTTTTCGAGTTATACGCAATTGAAAAATCTTTGCAAACTAAACTTTAAGAAAATTCATATTCTTTAGTTAAATTAATTTTATTTTGATAAAATTTTAATTTAAATAAATAATGTTAAAAATTGCAAAGATGCGATTAATGATGCCTCAATATTTTTACTAAAGAAAAATATATTCTAAATTCGCCAGAAAGTGTCATTAAAAAAATATCGACACGCTCAGGGCACGCTGTACAGAAGTAACTTTTATCGCAATCGTATAATTAGAGTAATCTTCCACTCGAAGCGTTCAATTGTTCGGTAATAAACGATGTGAGAAACTACAAGCGATATCGCCATTCCTGATATTTCGCCTTGAACGTTCGCGACACTCTTATCGGCGTTTCATGCGTTTGCTCACCGAGACTTCGCGGCGTGAAATAATTTCTATATTTAGTGCGCGACTCGGTGTGTCTCGCGGGAAGGTTTCTACATACATAATCGACGAATTCGGGAAATGGACGACTCATCGAAACTCGGCCTTATGACTCGATCTGCTATTTGCTCGCCTCGCTATGCATTTACGCGATCGTGACTGAACTCGCCTCTTAAAGACACGATCGCGCCGATGCAGTCGCATAATGAATCACACAATACGTGTTCCGGCTATACGCTGACATTTATACACCTTGCTCGGGCCTTCCTCGTGACACACAATCCTCGAGATACATCACGCTCGGAGCAGTCGCGGACGTATTGAATTTAAGCGCCGATAAATTAACGAACGGTTTTTCGCGCTTCCGACGTGCGAAAAGATACTCGTCGGACATAACGGAGAATTAATGAGAAGATTATAAAATTTAAATCGCCAGCAACTTACCGCGACAAAATAAATTAAACGACTTTTGTACAGGCCGCACATAAGGAGTTATCTTAATACTAATTTCCTGTAGGATTTACACGACACCAACTTTCGTTCGCGCTGTTCACGCAAGCGCAAGCGTAATCGCATTACATTTTTTTGTGAATGGTAAACGAGACCGGGATTACATGAGTATATATGACCGGACCAGATATATGGATGAGATTATCGGTCGCTGGTGGTAATGGCGCATTGTGCGGACGTTAGAGAGCTCGTAGATATTACGTGGCATCAGATGCGAGATGCACACTGCTCTCAATCATATGCATGAGACCGCAACGGAAAGCCGAATCTCAACTTACTCTCCTCCGAAACAGGATTCTTTCAGTTTGTGGTTTATCTTATTGTTAGTCCACAGATTACTACAAGATATTTTATACATTTTATATTAAACGGAGATTTTATTTTATTTAATGCTATCGTTTTGCGAAATAAACTATTTCTGATCGCCAAAAATTATATATATAAAGCGTTGAATATATAAAGATATTGCAGTAATTCGTTGTTAAGTCACAAACAAATTTCAATTTCTTAATCATATTACGGTAATTAATACAAGTAGGTTATTAATGTAATGCGATAAAATTTGCGTTTTAGAAAAGAATAATACTTTCGAAGTAGATTAATTTCATTCTATTGCCGTGAAAAAAAAAGTTTAACATGCTCAAAAGAAGAAACAAATTTTATTTTTTTAACTCTTTGCGATCTAAATTTAGATTTTTCCAAGAAATAAGTCAAATGTAACAATCAACTTTTATCTAGAAAGATTAGAAAAAAATATAGTTCACTAATCATCTACTGTTTCAATTGTTTGTAAAATTATGCAGAGAATTATCATAAAGTGTCGAGTTTATTTCGACTGGAAAAAATTAAAATGCATCTGAATATTAAAAACAAAGCACATTTCTTTTAGCAGTCGAGCGTCAAGTAGGGACTCGGTCAATGAGGAAGTCCGTGAAAGAGCAGTATCGCGTAGTAGATAGTAGTAGAGATCGAACGCGTAGATTACAAAGGTATTAATCAGAGCGGCGCGGGAGTGATGAACCGCCTACGTAACGCACCGTGCAGTCGCAGTGATGACCTAACATCCTGCATCACGAAGTGTCCCGTGCTATGGACACATCCATCGTACCTGGTTAAATCATCGCCGCACGAACGACACGCATATATCCGGCGACATATATTCCGCGATATTGCGCGAAAATGCACGAAGAAGGAACACGTTATTTCATCTCTCACGAACGACGCAATAAATGCAAGACTTAAATCTGTCTCGATCCAATTACGGTTCGTTCGCGCCTTATTTCTGCAAAGTCAAAAGATACTCGTAATTTCAGACGCCAGGTTTCAGATCTCGCGATATCGAGTGTCCGCACGTGAGCGATAAAAATCGCGAGTGCTGAAGAAGTGCTATAAATATCGGGGTCCCATTCTATTTCAAGAATTATGGCGATCGAGTGCTTTAATCCCCGTGAACGATGGATTGACGAGGACGTGAGCGAGCGCTCGTAAAGCTCGAGCTGGCCTAAATATAAGCGCCCACGAAGCCTCCTGTAAGGCTTCATGTAATCCGGACTTCCTGCGGCTCTCCTCTCGCTCGTTTCCCTCTCGTTATTAACGTAATGCTTCATCGCTTGTTAAGTAACATTGTTTCTTAAAATAGTACCAAGTACACAAAAATATGAATTGTCAACTTTAAATATCAAATAAATGCAATAACATTTATTTCTATATTATAAAAGACTCTAAAAAGTATAAAAAATCAAAGATTTATTTTATTTTGTTAATCCACATTAGCGTTTCTTATAAAAATTTAGTGAAAAAAGAGCATTATCTTATTTTATTTTCTAAAAATACTAATATATTTTTTTAATATATTTGCACAGAATATTATAAGCGTGATAGTTTAATTTAAACTGTTAATAATATCAAACTTTCTAAGAATAAAACTTTTTTATTCCCTAAAAATAATTTTATACATATTCGAACAAAATAATATCTATTATATTTTAATACATAACATATTAAACTGAATTGTTAATAATATTAGACTTAAAAGATTTTATTTCTAAAAAATATATTACGTTGTGTGATTAAATTTAATTCAATTTGGATCTAATCATTAATCGCTTGTGTGTATTAAATGCAATATCCCATTGTTCCGTTGACGTGGGTGCTGTTTTTCCCGCAAATCCGAGGATGCGGGCGGTGCTATTGGCCGCGTTTTCCCGTTTCGCCGATATTATTTATAATCGTCGCCGAGAGGGAAAGAGAGAGAAAGAGAGAGAGACGCGGGAGCCGAAGGAGAAAAGTTTATTCGTGGCCCGTCGTGAGCGTGAGTCACGAAATTCGAGAACGAGAGTCTCGTTCGCACACTAGATCGCAGCGTGGAGAAAAGTCGTTTAGGCGCTTCTAAGGGTAGCAATAGTCCTGACACGTCCCTGAAGCGGTACTTATCGGTGATGGATAGAGGATTATCGCTCGTTATTAAACCCCGAGATGAAACACGAGGACGCGGCCCTTATCCCGCACTCTGATATCTCAAACGAGGGAGCTGCTGTTCTAACTTGCGGGATACAAGACTGACAATTTATTTCACGATAAAAAATATATAAGAATACGTACTGAAATATTGTTCGAAATTTTATGTCAAAGATACGAAAATATTAAAAATATTGTTATCTATAAATGGATAAATTCCATGCGAAGCGCTATCAGCTGTTATACTCGTTTTCATAAAACAAAAATGCTGTCATAAATAATTTTACTATTGTCGTCATCCGAATGAAACTTAAAACGAATCACACGGTTTTAAATTTAAAATGTCCAATAATGTTTTTTATTTTGCAGTCTCTCCGGATGAGTCAATCATTTGTGTAATCGAGCGATGAGTCAAACACCTGGTCGAAAATCGCGTACGGAAAAAGAATCGAACAATTTTCATTTTCTTTAAAGATTAATTATAAAAATTATAAAAAGAAATATTAAAGATGCGTTATTTATATAGTAATATTTTTAGCTAGAAATGTTTTTACATGTATAAAAAATTAAGCTAGCAAAACTTGGCTTTCCAATTGTTCCAGATCTCGTAAAAAGTAAATTTTTTTTTGTATCGCATACGTGTGCATCGTCATAGTTTTAATCTTAAAGATTAGCGTAGTATGCATGAAAAAAAATACAGCAACGCAATACGGTTTCCCATTTTCTGAGATAACCCTATGTGTCATCAGATTACGCTATGCTTCTTTAAGGCTAATGAATAAGATTCGCTCCGACACATATTATGTTAGCAACTGACGCTCCTCTTACGATCTATTGTTTTAATTTTTTATCGTGGAATCACTTATTTACAAATTTTCCTTTTACAATATGCCTTAAATGCAGACTGTCGCATATTTTCGATGTAAGAGCATCAAGAATTCAAAATACAGAATTTATCTTTAAAAGCGTTGGCAGCGATTTTTCAAGTAAAATCGAATTATTTTATCACTTTCAGATACTATTGTCAGATACTATTGTCTCCATCTCCAAAAACCGAGTTTTCGAGTGTGTAGGATCCTGCGAGCGCACAGTATCAGAATACATCTCCATAAGAGACAAAACAAACTGAAGCAAACTGTTGATTGAAATTTAAGTGTTGGTTATCCTTTGTAAATCGTGCCATTAAAGTGCAGTCTCTGAATTCAAATAAATGTGCAACTTACTTCAGTTCGTTCTATTTCTTATCGAAATACATTTTTCTGGATATTCTTAAAAAGTAAAATAAACTCACCATCCGCGGGCGAACTTGTCACGATACGTCGACACAGAGAAGCCGAACATGGACCTCTCCTCCATGCGGTACACCGCGTAGTGTTTTGTTTCGACGTTGAAACCGTCGACGACATGCCGGGGTGGAGAACCGATGACAACAAGCCCGATGAAGCTCCAGAGTAGCCTCGTCAACTGCATCTTGTCCGCCGGATTCATATCACCGGATTGCACTGCTAAACACTTCGTCACCGTGTTTTTCGAGTCACTCTCATATATGATTTACGCGGATCGTGAAAAACCGTGGATCGCACACACGACGCGAAGATGTACTACACTGGCTTAACGATCGCTAGATCTGTATGTTAACGTCAATGCGCACGGACGCGGGTTAAGTCGGTAGCAGCTGCACCAGCCGACGACATGTGTCTTCCGCGATGCCCTCGAGACACGAGAGGGAGGACGACGATGGGGTCGGAGAGGGCAAGAGAGCCGAAGATGTCTGCTTGACGGACGCCCGCAGACAGACTGAGTGAAGCTCGGTTCTTTCGGGTAGTCTTCACTCACTCGCGTGCGACTCTCGACGGCCGGAGCGAGACTCCCACCCACGGCGCCGTGAGCCGGCGTGCGATGCCGGCACTTGAGTTGTGGATTGCAACGACGGCGGCTCATTGCAATTAAATGTTGATACAGCGCTATGATAATCGAATTTTATAGCAATTAAATTACATAATTGTAGAATTGTTTCAACTGTATATATAGCGATTATATTGTAATAGAATTTTTTGTACATCATCACAGTGAAGAGATCAAATCATCAAAGAGAGAGAAAGCTATAAACAATTTATAGCAAACATATATGTCGAAGATCGCCTCCGATTGGAAACAATATACGTGTTGCTAATTAGATTCCAATTCGCTTTCGATTTTATTTTCAAGTGGTAATTATAATTATTATAAATTATCAAAATAAAAAAATTTGAAAAAACAAAAATATGTGTCGTACAAATTGTTCCAATTAGATGCCAGTGCATCAGTCAATTGTATTTTTATTAACTATAATAACTAGAAGTTATCGATAAAACTTTAAATTTTTCTTTTTGTAAAATAGAATCCAAAAATTTGTTCATAATTGCAGATCCAAATGTAATTTTACGTAAAAATTTAATGGACCTCAGAGACTTCTAGAATTAACCTTACATTTATCATCAAAGAATTGTTTTACACACACATCTACTAAAAATATAATTAATATTATCAGTTTTTCTATCTAATTTTATGTATCTTATTATTGATTTTAAAGATAATATTTCTCAATAGTTACCTAATATGCTTTTTAATTGAGAATAACTTAATGTTCAACAATAATTAACAATTGATTGTAACTGACTTCAGCAAATCACTATTGAAACTTTTTGTTACAAGCGGATATAACGTCACAATGTAGCGCACCAAGCGTACAATATTGTAACTAACCTACTAAACGTGTTTCCTAACCGTCCCAACCTTACCTTGCCTAACGTTATTTTGAAGTTATCGGTGGAGAATAATCTAGCGATTCTAGAAATCAGTAAATATTGTACATAATAACGAATGCTTAAAAATTCTTTTTTACATATTTTATTTTACAAATAAAATGGAAAATTTCTAAACGAGAAAAAATTCATGGTTACAGTGAGAAATAAAAATGGAATGTGCAGAACTCAAGGTTGAATCATGTTTGTTGACAGCAACACAGCATGAAACTTTAAATAAAAGTGATGTAGTCATAAATACAAAAAGTCAAAATGATGCAAAAACTGACGAAAATGACCATGTACAATTAGAGAGTTTATTTATACAGCCTGAAGACTGTTCCAATTTAATAAATACTGAAACGTATTTAGAATCCAATAATGCTTCAATCACAAACAAAACTGTCCATCATACTTTTTCACAGTCACATGTAAGTATAATATAAATATCAATAAATAATATTCATCTATTTAAAAAATTAAGAATATTTTCTTTAAGTGGATATTTGTATAAGATAGATATTTGATCTTAATTTGTACAAGTAGATATTTGATAAATCAACTATTGTAGTATTAAAACAAATTGTAAAGTGATTAATCCTCAAATCTCTGACATTAATATTTAATCAAATTATAGGTGACACAGGACACAACGCAATCTTTAGAAGAGACACAAAATAATGAAACAGTAAATGATACAAAACTAAGAAGTACAAATTTGGAGCATGCTGAATTAACAGATTCTACTTGTATTCTGTACAATTTGTCCAGCACACCAAGGCTACTATGTGTAGCTACTGAAGAATATCAACCTACAGACTTGTATGAAAATTTTACAAAAGGCTGCCAGTGGTCCCCAGATGGAACATGCTTGCTTGTACCATCAGAAGACTTTAGATTGCGCATTTATGAGCTTCCTAGAGAATTATATTCTGGCCAAATCCCATTTGATTTTAAGGAGACCCATTTTACACCTGCTTTAACAGTTAAAGAAGGAGGTCTTATATACGACACTTGCTGGTATCCCTTTATGAATTCATGGGATCCTGCAACATGTTGCTTTCTTAGTACCAGTAGAGAGAGCCCCATTCATTTATGGGATGCATTTACAGGAGAACTGCGTGCAACGTATCGAGCTTACAATCAGTTAGTAACATAGTTTTCACTTAATTAAATCTTAAACACAACTTTGTAAAAAAAATGCATTTTGTTTCAGAGTTGATGAAGTAGAAGCATCTATAAGTATCCAATTTGTGGATTCAGGAAAGGAAATATGGTGTGGTTTTAAAAACGCTGTGAGAACTTTTGACACGGACCGTCCTGGACGTCAAACAAATACCATTCAATTTAAACACGATTTTCCAAATATGACTGGATTAGTCTCCTGCATTCGTGAAAATCCAATTATGTCGGGCCTAATTGCCTTCGGCACGTATTCTAAATGTATCGGTATGCATTTCAATTTAATAATTCTTATTACACATATTTTGTATACTAACTATGTTATTTTTCTTCTTTATATTTAAAGGTCTGTACAAAGATGGACCACTATGCACTTTTAAAACTGGAAGTGGTGTAACACAAATTGAATTTAGCTCTTGCGGAACGAAATTGTTCTCCGTTGTTCGGAAAAACAATGAATTTTTATGCTGGGACCTTCGTAATCCTGGAAATATACTTTATTCTCTTGGAGGAAGACAATCAAATACCAATCAAAGAATACAATTTAGTATAACACCTGATACTAAACAGATAATTTCTGGTTAGTTCAGTAGGTGCAAAATAATAGTCTCAGCATATGATGTAACATACTTCAATAATATTATGTATTCTACAGGTGGTGTCGATGGAAATATCGCTGTGTGGGAATTACCAGAAATTACACATTACGATGAAGATCTAAGTCCAAAATATAAAATAAAATTATCTGAAGATTGCATAAATGGAACAAGCTTACACAGAAGTTTACCCATAATAGCAACCAGTTCTGGACAGAGGCAATGTGGTATTGAAAACCAATATAGAGACAACAGCGTAAGATTATGGTGGGCTTCTTGATATGGTAATTAGGCAGCTTGATTTACATATTAACGTGTTAAACGTAACTGGTAAAATAAAAACAAAAAAAATTGTAAATATTTTTTTGTAAATATTTGTATTTTATATTAGTAATAGTATCATAAGCGTTGGGAATAACTTTTATAGCATACATTACACTTTTTTTTTATGTTACATATTTTAATTATTACTTTGAACAAAATTCTTAAGCTCTCAAAAATATGTTAATAACGAACAAAGATTGAAAATTGACCAAACCCATCAAGAAAATTGGATGAATTCCTAAAACACAAGCACAAACATAAAATAACTAAATCTGTAAATTGTCCTTCAGAATTCCGTTCATATAATTCTACTTTGAAATACTCATATTTTTTAATTATTGTGTATCATATAATATTTAGAATTAGATATTGAATAAAACACAAATCGAATTTAAAAAATCATTAATGATCAGTGAAAATTATTTTTTAAATTTGATTCAGTTATGTTTTGTTTATATCAAATTCTAAGTATTAATTGAAATCCTAAATTAGGTCATTAATATTTATCTTTTTTCCATTTGGATCTATTGTCTATTCATCAGTCTCACAAAGCAAATCAAGTTCAGTTTTAAATTGACATATATGTAATGAATATGACACATATGTAATGAATAGCCAATAGATACATTGAAAGAAGATAATGAATGCATAATTCTCTGAAAGATTTAGATTTTCTTTTTTCTGTGTGTTTTGAGAGAATCTTTAATTTCCAAGTTCAACCAAGTTTAAATATTAGATCTCGTCTTCTAATTGTACTTCAGAGAGAAGTATTATATACATTTATTTTTGTTATTATATATAGACACAAGATTATTTTTCTGATTTTGGAATTATCATTTGTTTAGATATTAGATTGTCCAGATTATACCGTTTTCTTTAATGAATTTAATAGAAAAAATTCGTGTGAATTTTCCGGACAGTACAATCTCTTTCGAAGTACTCTTATTTCTGAATCTTGCGTGTAATATTTAAAATATATAATTATATCGACTATTATATAATTATATTTCTGTAACATCTATAGTTCTGTATCTGTATTTGAAATTGTTTAATAGGCATGTTGCCTGTAGACATAATAGGCAATATGTAATAATGTTGCAGACAAAATATGTACATTTATTATAAATGCATCATACATTATTAAAATATGTCATTATATATAAAATCTTTATTCTAGTCTATATCGCATATTATTTATCTGAATATAACATATAATAAATATTTATATATGTGCTTTTTTACTTAAAAAATACGATATTATTAATCTTTAAAAAATATAATCAATTTTTCATATCTGCAATTTACACGCGATTTCTTTAAAAAATATAAAATAAAGATAAAAATAAAATTGAAAAAAATAATGATTAGTTTTTCGTATCTCGTAATCCTTGAGATCTTGTAATTCTATTAGGAACTGAAAGAAACAAATTCTGATTAATGCAATATTTATTTTATAAAATTATTACACTTTAAATAATGATAGAACTTACTTCGTTCAGGTGTAGTCCACGATATAAGATCTTCATCGGATATGTGTCTGCCTCGACTCTGTCTGAAGGAAGTCTTATTCCGATGTTTTTTTAAATGAGGAGTCATAGGTAGCACTGGTTTGGTTTCGGAACATACCAAACAGTCTTCAGCTATAATATATATGCGTGAAAGTATAAATGTACATATGTTTGAAATTATATAAGTAATATAGACTTACGGTTAAATGCAACACTTTTACGAGATGATTTTCTTCTTTTATCAACATTTTCTGTTAATATATTATCCTGAATCTCTGTTATATCATCTTTATCTCTTGTCATACTTTTATTTCCATCTTTTTGTGATAATTTTGCCAAGCTTTTTTTATGCGATTTTGTAGGACTCTTATTTTCTTTTTTACTAACATTTTTTGGAGTCTGAAAAAATTATTTTTATCGATTATCTATTTATTAAATTATAATAGTATAAATATATTAAGATACATATTCTAAATATTACATTGAAAAAGATCATTAATGTCATAACTCACCATTTTGCTTCTTCTGTTCGTCTTGGGGGTGTCAGTTGCTGTGATAGTTCTATTTCTGAGCACTCTTACTTCTGTATTATCTTCAGAAGCAATAGGCGTTGCAGACCAAATATTTATTGAAGGTGGCGTGTTAGATATGTTCCTGTCTTCAATTGGATTTTCTAAACCTTGATTGATAGTTCGTATATCATCCCATAACTTTTTAACAGACTCTGATGATATGTCAAATAAGTGCTCCTTAAAATCTGTCATATTCTGAATAGATGATTTAGATCTATTTCGTTTCTTTTTTATTTCTGCTTCTGCTGCGCCCATTTCATTCTCGGAGAAATCTTCAATATTTTCAGAGAAACTTTCAAATTTCAATTGTTTTACAGCATCAATGTTCTCTTGTGGGCTTGCTTCATTTAAATCAAGACCGTCTATCCTGTTTAGTGCAGCGGATAAGTTTAGCTTAACTTGCGTTTCTTCATCAAGAGGGACGTCAAGCGAAAATACTTCATCATCAAAATTGACTTTATGTGCCGACTTTATCCGAGTCTCTTTATTTATTAATTCTTCGGATTTCTTTAATATACTTTTACCTGGTGTTTGATCAGAATTAACGTATGATATTGTGTCGTCTAACTGAACTTCAGGTGTCTTACACATTTGACTTATTTTCATGACTGTATATGGACTCTTCATTCTTTTGGATGTGTCCGAAAATTGTGCTTTCACCAAACTTACTCGAGAACTCTCACGTCGAACTGGAGTCGATTTGTTGTGTTCCTTAACGTCGTGAGACTTGGATCTCCTTGTACTATGTCGAGTATTAACATCTTTAAATGTTATTGACTTTTTACCACTCGACGTAATATGTTTTTCATTTATATCTTCATCTTGTAATAACAAATCTTCTTTATTTGCTGTCCCTGCTTCAATTTTCTTTTTTCTAGCTGCTAAGATTATTGATCGAAGTGAACTTGGCTTCGACGAGACAGTTTGCTTTTTCGGAAGCACCCGTTTTTTGGCAATTGGTTTGATCGTAGTATGTTCTTCCTCTTGCCATCCTCTACTTTGACGTTCTTCCAGTTTCTTAAACCGCGATTCACAATTCTCGACTTCCATATACATCATATCCCAAAATCCTTGCAAATCTCTACACGTAACCAACATTTCTCCCCGACCAGTTTCACAATCCTGTACTAAATTACGAAATCTTTCAAACTTTTTGGTTATCAACAAATTTGTTTGTCCTACTGCTTGATTTATTTCATACTCAGCGTCATCTGGGACATCATTCTCCAGTCGGATTTTCGACCAATTTTGGCAAAGTTCTTGAAGTCTAAGTGTTTCTTTCTTCAAGAGAAATTTAAAGTACTGAGCAGTGCGTTCCTCGTCTTCTACGGATATGTTTAGGTTTTGCATTACAGTATCTTTGGTTGGAATTTCGTTGGATGATAAACGACCGATACCAAGGCGCTGCTGTTGTTCTTTTCTGGCATTTTTCTTACCACGACTTAGTGTAAGATACGGTGAAAAAACGATAAAATCTTCTTCCTTAGGACTTGAAGTTCTAAATCCTTTTTTAATATCATTTCTATCAGGAGTATTATAATTTAATTTTTCTAGTGAACTGTTTTTCGGTTTATCTATTTCAAATGTTGCATTATGTTCTTTATCTATATTGATTGTTGCATTATGTTCCTTATCTATATCGATTGTTGCATTATGTTCCGTATCTATATCGATTGTTGCATTATGTTCCTTATCTATATCGATTGTTGCATTCTGTTGTTCATTTATATCAATTGTTTTGCATTCTTTTAATTTCTCTTGTATAAAGAAGTCCCCTTTCTCTTGTGGAGTTGGTTCTATTTGCACAAGACCAAATAAAGGCATTTTTTTCACCCCAGAAGGAGGTCTAAACTTGTGACCAGCAGGAGCGAATGATTCGTGCTTTTTAATAGATGATGACTTCTTAATAGCAGATGTTGACTTTCTTTCCATTTTATTCGTAGAATGTTTTATTGAAGTCAAAGTAGTATTCTTTGAAGTAGTTGGTGCTTGCTTGATACTAGTAGAAGCAGCTGCTGCTTTAGCTCGTAATCGTTTTTCCGTAGCCTTTGTAATACCTTTAGGGACATTATTTGGCCGTTTTGCTTGCTGAGGTAACTTTTTATCTGTTCTAATCCTAGGAGAACATAGAGAATGATGAACAACTCCAACTTTAAATGCAGGTTTTTTCTTCGCAGCTTCCATTTTCTTTTTTCTATCGCGATCCTCTCTCCATTTTATTAATTTTTTCATAAGTTCATCCTTAATTTCAGCTTTATTTTCTACTAAAAATAATAGAAGTTTCTTATTAGCAATCCATTATTTAATATCTAGAATCTATTTACATATTACTTCGTAGAAAAATGACACAAGTGAAAAATTAGCATTTTTGAGATAATGAAAGGAAATTGATTCATGACATACTTTTAAAGAATACATTATGATTAAAAGTATATTACATAGAAAGAAAGTTATGCATATTCACTATCCTAATAAAAACATTCTAATTTTGAGATATTTTCTATCAACAGAGCGATATATATACACATATATATACATATGGTTCTTAGCTTATTATACTTTCTAGCTATTAATAAATAAGACTAATATATTTCAATTTCAATAAAATCATAATACAACATACAATTTGATATTGCAAAATATATATATTTTAATATTGAATTATCAGTCTCTATATGATTACATTGTAACATAAGATTATACATTCACATAATAAAATTTCTTGCCAAATAAAACATCACAACATGCTATTTCATACATCAATTAGACACAATTTTATCAATAATCTTATAAAATTTATAAATCAAAATTTATCCAGAAATAACCAACCTTATTACATATAATCGAGTTTATCTCATGCAAATTTGAAGAAAGAATAACGTATTTGAAAAATAATGAAAGATAGTGACCTTCGTCAAACAATATATTAAACATCAAGCAAAAAAGAAAAACATGAAAATGTTTCAATAATAAATACATAATTAAAGATGATAGATAAAATTTTCTTGAAAAAGAAACTAACGGATCTAATTAATTCCAATGCAATTATCGTCAAGATGCAAGCTGTACCTCATAAAATAATTAGAAATAATTGAGAACTTACCGAGCTGTGGACTTGTGGATGCCGAAACGTCGCGTAGGTCACGGTTGAAATTGAAGGCTCGCGATCGGTCTTCTTTGCGTGACTTATTTCTCCTAACAGCACGTAAATCCCTCTTGTGATCCGCGTCACCAAATCCTGGACGTGGATTTTTATATTGGTTCTTGAAATCCATTTTCTAATCAGATTTCTTTCCAATGACGTTCGCAACTGTTCGTTCTCGAATAACGGGCAGTCAACGGCAGTACAACTGAAAATCACTTTAAATAGTTGGTTATAGCGCTGAACGTCGAGATGATAAACGCGCGAAAGGCTCCCATTGGCTAACTCATGTAACGAGATCAGTACTGCCAATCGACGATAAGAGTATATTCAGACAAACTTGTATAGCGCATAAGCATATGCGTAAGGAAATGGATTGGTCTACTTCCTTATGCATTTTTTTATGGATATAACCTAAATCGTTCAAAAAATAACAGTATGCAACTGTCGAGTAACAATGGCAGTAAATTTCGGAACGCAGCCTGTATATGATGATCAATGTAAAATAATAACATTTTTCTCCCTAAAAAAAATTAGATTTAATTATTAATTATACACTTTTCTAAAACCAAATCTAAAAAGTAACTGCAAATTGCAAAAGTAATGAAACTGCTCTAAACATGAAGTAAAATGTTTCTTTTCATAATATAGCATTATATAAAAATATGATAATTGTTTTATTTTGTTTGTGCGTGATGTTTGTGTTTTTTGACAGTTGGTATTGTGCATAATATATTATTGAGCAACATTGCAGCATCGAGATCGAAGAATCGAAAAGTTGGCAGCCAGGTGTTTTTCCATCGAACTATTCGATCAGAATTATTACGACTCATCGTGACATCGAATGGCAACCGACGAGTTTATCTTCTCGGTTTCTCCTCACCAAAATGAAAACACTGACCGAAAGTGGAGATAAAACTAAACGCGAACACGAGCGCCTTTGTGGAGTCTGGCTGGCGCGCGAAGCTGGTTGGCGTGCGGCAAAACAAACGCGAGCTCTAAATTCTTGCTTGTCGACAACGCCGTGAGAAGATAAGTACTGAAGAGAAAAGAGCTTGACAGCACATCTGGAAACTGCGCATAGGAAAAACACAGAAAAGCACAGTGTATTTCCGTACTTTGGACAAACGTGCCATTTCGCGTTAATTCGCGACGCGGAAGAGAATTGTTCGCGTCTCTTCTCTTTCTCACTCTCTCGCTCTCTCTTGAGCGAGCTTTGTCGATCGTGTCGGACGTCGATTCGTTCCGGGCGCGAAAAATTTTTTTTTTAACGCTGGGACGAATAACGCGTTGTGACACGCGGGTAAAAACGTCCGAAGAAAGGAGAATCCGGCCGACTCGCGTGCGCGACACGAGATGAACAATCGGTAGTCATCATAAAAGGAAGGAGGTGGACGCGACGAGATGGCTACGACCGCGAGCACAACTTTCTCGCGGATGATGAAGACATTGCGGGAAAATGGCAATGTCAAAGAAAAACGCGAGGTTTTAACCTATATCACCAGGTAAAGTATCACGGGTCTGCCCTCATAAAATTCTTTGTCATGCATGACAAGACAGAGGAGATGAGACATCATAATTGTTTCCTCGTTTAACAAATTGCTGCATTAGAATTAACAACTCTTTGTTGGACGAATTAATATAATAATGAGTTTTAAATATTAGATCTTAATTCTTTAATTGTATTATACGTTCTAAATATGTAACAAGATAACATTTCAGATTTTAAACAAGTAAAATAGAAAAAATAATCAAAAAAGTACATAAGACACTGCAGAGAAGAAAGAACTGTTTTTTTGTTGAGTGTTTTCTTTGAGAATTGTAGATTAATTGCTGCAACTTGAATTAAATGTAAATTTTATATTAAAGCATATTATTTATCTTGCAGTCAAGCTAAAAAATTGGAATCGAGTGGTATTATTAAAGAAGAAAAGTACAAGGAGTTATGTAGGGTGGTTATAGAAGTAATTTCGAAGTATGAAGGCAGTATACAAAATGAAGCATTAAGCGCCCTTAATGCTATTGTGCGAGAATTTCAAGCACACTCTATCAATCTTTTTGAAGCCATGTTACCAACAGATAGGAGGACAAGGTTTGTCTTTATATTATACTGTTGAGTTTATATTATAAAAATCTATTTACTTTAGATTTTAACAAGATACTAAGCTCTTATTTTATTTCAGAGTAAAAATACTTAAATTATTGGAGGTAGTAGATGACAATGCTATTTCTGCAGCTTCTAAGGATGGACAAGCTCTGAACTTTTTTAAAGACTGTATGCTTAGTGTACAACCTAATTTTATGGCATGGATAACGCCAACTGCATGTGTAGATAACATACAAATGCTGATAGAGGTTGAACAACAACAGCTATCAGATGAAGAAAAACTAGAGGAGGATACAATCAGTTACTCCATTATTCTGTTGCATAGATTGTATAAATTAGCTGCTACAACGTTTGACAGTCATTTAAATATTCAGAGGGTATAAACATACATGATTATATCGTGAACAATTCTTGAAATTCTAATTAGGATTGTAAACATTTTTTTTTTCCAGTTTGATACATTATTGTTGGACAAGATAGTAACATTGGCCTATATGGGACACAAGCGACAACGTGCCCCTGCTTTAAAAGTTTTGCAGCAAGCTGTTGCAATTAATATATCTTTACGTATTTGTGAAGACTATCCTGCTTTATGGGCAAAGTATAAAGAAAATTTACAATCTACATACTGTAAACGCATGTTATTGCTGGTAACAGTATGTGATCCAGATTGGACTATTCAGTGGAATACCACTATCCAGTTCCTTGGTACAGATCTTCATCGTGGTGCTAGTCTTATCAATAATTTACTAAGTGTTGAGGAAAAAGCTTTTAAATCTACTGATCCTATTATACGCAGGTAAACGTACAGTTCTGTATGATTAAATTGATTTTTATTATCCACATAATGAAGTAATAAACTAACACTATTTTTATTATATTTTGCAGACAAGCTTTTCTTTCGTGGAAATTATTGATTGACAATTTTGCTTTAGATCATCAAGAACTTGCTACTGCCAGAAGGATAAAATTGCTTTGCATTCCACTGAACGCTAAAAATAGTAAAACTGAATTAATCGCATTAACGAAATTGGAAGTTTGGTGGCATTTAATTATTAAATTGTATAAAGATGTCGCAAAATTTGCTACTCCCATTATTACGCATTTCCTAAATTATTGCTTTGGACCACTTGGAGACACACCACTCCTTTCTTCTAAATTTGACGTTGTTGCCTCTCCAGGCAAACGATTCTTTAAGACAAAAGTAGTTGCAGTGGATGCCTTGTATCAATTAATTGTGAACAAGGAAGATATTTTGACAGTTTGTGGTCCAATATTAGAAGAGAAACTGCCTAATGCTATATCTGACGCAGTATTTCAAGAATGTTCCAAGAGCATTATTCACAGCATTGGAGAGGCTTTACTCATTCTTGGTCAACTCACAGATCAAGAATTGAAAAGTCGTTTTCAGCGTGGCAAACAGTTGTGGGCAAGCTTGATGACATATATAAGAGATACAGCACTCAAAGAAAAGGTTACTATTTTTTATTTTCTTATTTTTATGGCATATGATATGAATGTATATAACGAAGAGATTTTGAAAAAATTTTATACTGAATTTTATATTGAATTTTACAGGATCATTTGTATAAAGATGTAATACTAGTTGTAACTGAATTAGGGAATCATATAAACAAACCTATGGTGAAAGATATGATTTTTGACGTAATTCTGCCACACGTCCATCAACTCGTGAAGGATGCTGAGCTTCGTGACAACGCATTACCAGAATTGGTGTTAAAACTTTTATCATTTCCAATGCTCGAGGAAGTGCCAAAGTATCTCTCGTACGTATATATTAAATTAATGACTTGTTTGTATCTATCTATATTGTTCTATATATTATACAAGCCTTTATTATTATATTGCAGGGATGATGGAAATGATTCAATTAAGTGCCTTTTGAAACGATGTATTAGTTCAGAATTTACATATTCTTCAGGTGTGTTTGGATTTCTGGAAACAATAATGGAAAATTTGGAAGTAAACAATCAACATAGAGATATGTAAGTCTAAAAAGTCTGTTAATATAATCAGTGTTTGACAATAATTACATAATATGTTACAGGGTAGTTTACTTGAACTTGTGGACTATAATAGCGGAAATATTAACAAAATACATGCAACAATCTGAAGCCCATAAAAACGAATATCAGTTTAAAAATGTGAAGCCGATTTTGGCATTTCCATTTCAAATTGCAACTCAGAAAAAGCTTGATCAGGTTCACATAATTTTATAGACTTCTTTTTATCATCATTTGTTCATATCGGATGACAACTTTCTTATATATTAATATTTTTACAGATACAAGAGCAAATACCAGCGTGGAAAGCTTTATATAAACAACTCGTGTTACAATCAGATTCGATAATTAAAATAAAACCAAACGAAATTTTATTGGATACTGCAAATATGATGCGAGATTGCTTAAGAACAAATAAAAATTGTTGTTCTCTCATTGTAAACTGCTTTGACACTTTATTGAGCACTCTTGATTATGAATCCTTACTGGGTATGTACTCGATTGTATTTTATTCGAAATAATATTAACACTCAAAATGTAATAATGCAATAATACATAATTTATGTTTCAGATCGAGATGAAATTCCTTCTATCTTGCAGTTAATACTAGACGTTATAACTGTTTCTTTTCACTATATACAAAACACTAACGCTGAAGCAACTCTAAAAACATTATCAGCTTTACTGATTACTGTATTTGGACACAATTTAGAAAAAGTAGTGTTGTATCTGCACAGATGTAAATCAGTGATTGAACTTATACTTACATCGCAAATGAAGGCATCTGTCAAAGAAGTACGACATCCATATTCTTCACGAAATATTCTAATTTGCATTATTTATGTTCTTTTTTAAACTAGCAATTTTATTTACAGATTACAAGCACATGGGAATACATAATCAGTATCTTCAAAGGGCTCAATAAACATTTAGATCGTGAACTTTTATTATCGTACAAACAAGTGATTATAACGGCCATGAAACACAATAATTCAAATATAAGATCTTTAACACAATCTATTTTTGAAGTTAGAGATGGCTTAGACGATAGCGCTAAGTCTGTTTTAGATGAAATAAGAAAAATAGAAAAACCTGTATCTCATTCTACATCTGATAGTGTCGCAAAGAAAAAAGCAGAAGAATCAAAAGAAGTGCGTATGGCTGGCAGCTTTTTGAATAGAAAATCTAATACAAACCTTACGTTAAAGTCGTTGCCCAATGATCCATCAAAGAAGACTGTTAAAAATACGCTTAAACTTGAACCTGAACCTGATTCACAGGTAAATATTTTGATTTTATTTTGCACACATTTTTACATTTATTACGCAATCAATGTTCTACTTTCTTAATTTTGTTTACAGGACTATGTGTACATAAAAACAGATTTGAAATTTGATGTTAATCGTTTGACTGAGCATCAAAAAGAGACTTTAAAGAAAAAAAGAGAAGATATACCAGCATTATATAATGATCTTTCTCAATCATCTTCGCAAAACTCGCAAAATTTGCAAGAATGGTTTGATATAAAAGCCAAATGCATTAACGAATCGGATAAAGCCAATAATAAGAAAAATGAGCTCACACCACGTAAATTCATTGATAACGATGCTGACAAGAAACATAAGGTCAAACAAACAGAATATTGTTCTTCACCGGGCATAATAGATCATATTTATAGTAAAAGATTGGATGATACTGTTGAAGAAAATATCGTGGATACAAAGCAAAACGAAGATTTAATGGAAAAAATTGAGAAAGAAGGTTCTAAGAAAAAACAGGATAAAAAGATGGATACATCAAAACAGACAGATTCCAATTTGGCATCTTCCAGTGGACAAAAAGCTATATCAGAAACAAACGAAAAAACGGCTGTAAATGAAATAAAATCCATTGCGAAAAAATTAAATTTTGAATCTCGCGAGGAGTTTCCTGAAAATAAAACACACGAACGAGGATCATCCCCGTCTATGTTAGACAGTAACAAACGACGACAGTATTACAATCGTAATAGTGTTACAAAATTGAATTTATCGTTAAAAAGTGATGAAACTGTGGAAAGTCAAAAAGATTCAAGTGCGTCAAATGTACAAAAAATATTGAAAGTGAAAATTACTCAGGAAAAATTGGATACGAACGATAAAGAAAAGGAGTCAGTTGACGACGCTGAAGTTAAAGACAATTCCAATGAAAATAAGAAAGGCATAAAGCGCAAATACGTGTCAGATACTGAATCAGACGGAACCATGCAACGTCGAAAGCGGAAATTGGTTAGTGAGGACGGTGGTGAAACATCGCGTTGCAGTGATGTATTCTCGGATATAGACATGGAGAATGTGACGAAACGTACGAAAAATGAAATATCTCGTTTAAAAATCGACATGGTGTTCGACTGTCCTTCGGTAAATCGTCGTCGAGTCAAACATTCGGATGACGAAAAAGAAACAATTACGCATGGGTTGAGAAAATACGGGACACCTGACAATAGGCATTTGAAGTTGAAATCGATGGATGCGAAATTTACAGAAGGATCAAAGAAATCTCCAAAATTGGAGAAGAATGCGAAAGACGCAGATGATCACACAGATCAAGGAATACTTAAAAGGCGGGGGAGAAGAAGCACAAAACAAGAGGCCAACAAGAGTGATTCGGACGTTAATAAAGAAGTTAAAAGACTCTGCGATACCAGTGACAAAATATCTGAATCAAAGAGCTCGACGGACATAGATAGGACGCATGCAGCTCCGACATCTAGCCAAGCGATAGAAGACGTAACGACTGATACAGTAGAAAGTGAAAAACCTGATAAAAACACTTTTGAGTCTGACACAAGTGTAAAGACTCCGGAGCTTGCGGAACCAAGTGGACAGAATCAGGAAGACATTGAGGATTTTGTCGAAAGCTCGCAAATTTCTACCGTTAGTTCAAAATTAGATAAAAAATGTACTGAGAAACAATGCTTTATTAAGATCAACAAAATGAATGTTATTGTTAAGACTTCAGACATGACTGAAATTGAAAAAAATTACGTACCTGAATCCATCCCCGTAGATAGCGGTGATGACAATGTGCCCGAGTCATGTGAGCAATCAGCTGAGGCTAATCCTAACAATAATACAGAAGTGAGCGATGAGGGAGACAAAGATAATGTAAAAGACTTCGTTCAGGAGACTGAAAATTCTAACACGAAGGTTTTAGTTGCGGAAGGTCAGAAGGCAGTCGACAATACATCGGCGACTAAAACTACAAGTGTAACTAGTTTTTCTTCGCCGAAAAGCGGTGGCAAAGTATTTGCTAAGCCTAAATCCTTCACGGGACGTGCTGCCCATATGCTAGGTTTGGTCACGAAATCGCATATCGAAGGTGATAGTTCAAGTATTGCGCTCGAGGATGAATCGTCAGTGAAGAAGTCAAAAACCAAGGACGCGGAGAATGAAACGAGCAAAAAGATGCCGACGGTTATGGAAATGGATAAAATAGGCGGACCTTCCGGTAGCCGACAGGAAAAAATTTTCAACAACATGAGATCGCACGATTACTGTGCGCTTCCATCGACATTTACCACTTTGAAGAACGACGGCGAGAAACTTTCGTTTAAATCGGACAAGACTTTGTCTGATCCTTCAATGGAAATATCAGTTGACAAAGACAATGAACAAGATGCATCATCCGCGCATGAGAAAGATGATCTACCGATGTTGGAATGGTCAAGCGCTAATCCACCGTCGTTAACTGCATCACCGAGCGCTAGTATTCTTAAACGTCACCGCTCGAGTGTACCAGAACCAGATCTAGATTTAACTCCTAAGGTATTTTTTCCATAGTTTATATCAGCGCTCGGAATTAGTTGCACATTTCGAGCCGATTCAGGAGACGACGCCTCCTGTTCCTCCACTACCGCTCGGCCGCCAGCGGCCGGGCGGTAGTGGAGGAACAGGAGGCGTCGTCTCTTGAATCGGCCCGAAATGTGCAACTAATTCCGAGCGCTGGTTTATATTATTAGAATATAACAGTTTAACAGTAATGTGCAATCTTTGATATCTCCAAAAATATTATTTTAAAAAATCTCATGTTACCTTTTTTTCTATCTCTCTTTTACGGATTGTGTATTATATTTCAATATTTATCGCTTTATTAAATTTATATGTTTATAAAATATGTTTGTTACAGCGAAAACGCGTGAGCTTTGCAGATCCACCAGTATCGAAAGAGATGGGTTATGAAATCTCCACTACAGATTCTTCAAAAACAACGAAATGTTCTCTGACACGCGGTGCTATGTCAAGGAAGGATTCCTCGCTGAAGTTCAAGCAGAGCAAACTTAAATTTGTATCAACTGATGCAGAAAAAGTAACAACTGAGAGTGACGCTCAAAACGAAATTGACATAGAGGATACTGAAGCCGAGAGAAAGAGTGAATCGCTAGAAAAAACATTATCTGAACTGAGTTTGGAAGCTATGATGGACATTAATGAGCCTGGCAATGCTTCGGAAACCGATAATAAACACAATTCCCATTCAGAAATTACGATTATCGAAGAAATAGAGGTAATGGAGGAAATCGTAATAGCTACGCCTAATGTTTCGGAGAATCAACAGCTTTCAACTTCGAAAGATCCGCAAAACTCCGTTAATATGCTGACAGATCACGTCGGAACGCAAGATTCCGAAACACAGCAAGACATCTTTGATGGGGTAGACACGAATAACATCAATACGTCTATCCAAAATAGTTCGGTGGATTCTATTAAACTGAATGTGACTGATGACTCTGTGATAGCGGCTTTACCTACCAAAGACAGCAATTCGATAAACATGGAGGATACCGTAGACGTCCAGAATATTACTGAATTGAATTCCACTGCAAATACAGATGATATATTTTGCGGAAAGCTAATGCGCACCAGTACGCACGCGACAGAAAATCTGACAGAGCAGGACACTTTGCCGGTGACAGACTCCATATTTTCGAGTTTGGCAAGCCAAGACACTCAAAGTCAACCGACACAGAATAATGCGCAGGTCGAGCCCGAATATCTGGATTCCGTCCAGCCTTTTTATCCAACATTGTCGTCGTGCGTGGAACCAATCGACACTATCATCGAACAGTTAACTTATCCTATGTGGAAACGAAACTTATGCAGCTACTTTGGAAACAGAAGTATAAACACGATCGGCGAGTTGGCCAAATTATCGGAACGCGAAATTAGCAGATTGCCCGTGAAAGGTAAATCAAAGATCGAATATGTGAAGAATGTTCTGCAACGTTTTGAAAGCACAAGCATGCCGCAAGCGAATCCTCCCTCCGAAAGCGTGTCAAATGTCACGGAAGTGCAGAAACGATTGCCCGCGGTGGAGAATCCGCCAACTGTACCATTCGTTCCGGTATCCAACATAGAAACAGTATCTACGACAATGAACAATACAACCTTAAGCTGTAACAAGCCGCTTAATCTGCCTACTGGAAATGTTTCTAATAACCAACCGACAGAGAATTTGGATAAAACACAGTCTATTAACAGTGAAACGGATATATCATCAGAATCAATGTATTCTGGAAGTTTTGCTCTGCCAACATTGGGCACTTTTAGAGACACTGAACAGACAGGCGCGGCGATACTGATCGCTCAAAACACGCCTGCAATATGTACAAATAACATTATATACATGCCAGCTTCTCAATTAACCTTCGAAAATATGTACGTAATTTTTTATGTTTTTATTTTATTATAGATCAATGTATTGTTTACATTTACAAATTTTTAATATGCGATAAAAATTATGTTTTGTTTAGTGCAACTGTGAACGAAGCACCGTCTTCAAGTGGGCACGCAAACATGTCGTCATCATCTTCTACTACTACTACTACTACTACTACTACTACTACTACTAAATTCAGACGCATATTACCTCGTCCATATTTAAACGAATGTGGACCCGAGATAATTCTCCCACCACTCAAAACGTACATAAAAAGGCGAGAGGAACCTGTTGTTAAGCGAGATGAACCTGTCATCAAGCGAGATGAACGTGTCGTCAAGCGAGATGAACGTGTCGTCAAGCGAGATGAACGTGTCGTCAAGCGAGATGAACCTGTCGTCAAGCGAGATGAACCTGTTGTCAAGCGAGATGAACCTGTCGTCAAGGGAGATCAACCTGTCGTCAAGGGAGATCAACCTGTCGCCAAACGAGATCAACCTGTCGTCAAGCGAGATCAACCTGTCGTCAAGCGAGATCAACATATGGTTAAGCGAGATGAACCCGTCATCAAGCGAGATGAACCTGTCGTCAAGCGAGATAAACCTGTTAGCACGCGAGATGAACCTGTTGTTAAGCGAGATAAACCTGTCATCATGCCAGATAAAGCTGTCACGCAAGATGAAGCTGTCACCACGCACTCGTCCGTCGGTACCAATACCGAAAGTACTTCGAAAAGGAAGATTACTATGTCCGTTGAATCTCAAATGACAACTTCGGATTTACTAGATGAAATCGACGTAAATCTTGTGTTGGAAAATGCAGTTAGAAGATGCAGTCCTGAGGCGCTCCTTTCGCGATACAAGGTAAGTTTTGTTTACCTTATATCAATTTTATCGATTACATCAGTATTATCTTATATATAAGTAGCCACTTTATTTTCAGACAAAGATGGCGCATTTGAACGACACTGAATTGGTAAAGGAAACCCTGAGGATGCTCGATGTGCCGTGCAGTCACAAATTCAATGAATTGTCGTTAAAATCAGCAGCCCGGGCGTGCGGTGTCAGCAAAGTTCTCCTTAGGTTACCTGACATCTTCAATTCCGACAAACAATTCTTCGAAAAAGTGCTTAACGTGTACAGCAAGAAGCTCAGTATAAACGATTGTTTGAACGTTTTCGATTTTAGCAAAGTAAAAAGCGCGATCTTGCAAAAGTGCACGTCGTCTGAACTCGTCGAGATGCTGTCCGACAAATTGAAGGAGGACCAGCAAGAAGGCATTACACAACCTGTGCCGACGTTGTCCAGCCTCGACGCGATGTTACAAAGATTGCCGATGGATGTGATCATTAGTCACACCGTGGCGAATGAGGAACTTATTCCGGCGTCGGTAGTTCTCGACATAGCTTTGCAAAACAACAGCTCGGGAGACATAGCGCAGGCATTAAACCAGTCCCCTGTGCTGGCCAAACGTGTCCTGGACAAACTGTGGACGAATCAATACACGATCGCGAATATCGACAATGATGAAGTATCCAAAGAGAGTTTGCTTAACATTTTTAAGAGTGTGTGCTCGAAATTGACTGAGCAAGAATTGTTGAATGCGTTCCACGAGGCTATGTCAAGCAAGCTCATAAAGAGTGAAAAGAAATAAGTCGGAATTGACGGAAATCACAATTCTAGATTTAGTATCGAACAACGTGACTGATGTGTGTTTCTTTTTTTCTTTTTTTTTTTCCATAAAAGTATCGACATATCTTGTATATTGAAACCAATTATTTCACTTATCTTTCTAAAATGCTGATTATTTGAATTTGTTTGTGACAGTTACTTCATATCTGCATCATGTAATCACTTAACGACTTCTACGTTATCTCTGTTACCACTGCTAATTTAATCGGTTTCACTTGTAAGTATTCATCATGTTAAGCAAGATACACCTTATATTTACATTTTCATACTTGTAAACAATTATGTGAATGTTACATTAATTCTCGTAATACCAGGCAGATTTCATGTATTGTGATGATAAGAGATGATTTGTGTTTATTAAATAAAATTAATACTCTTGTATGGAATGATTAATAATTGTAGGAGAAAGGTTTTCTACGAATGATAAAGAAAAATAATTTTTTTTTTAACATGAAATAACGATAAATAATCAGAATATTCACTTATATTTTATATGTTAATTTCACTTTCAATTAATTTCATTCCTTATTTGTGCATCGTCTTATCTTATGTATATTTTTTAACTTTGTCTTTTAATTGTGTCTTTTTAACTGTGTTTTTTAATTGTGCTTTTTACAATATTTATGTCTTAATATATTGGTTGTAAATTGGTGTTTTCTTGTAGGTTTCTTTATTTTCATTTTATTTCTTATATCTTTCACTATTTGAAGAAAAATTGCATCTCCTGCATGTATGGACTTTTCTCTATTCTTTTATCTTTTTCTTTTTTCCCCAAGGAAATAACCGATTCAAACAACATATCTATCAATATTTTCGAAAAAATAGATATTTAAATCGCATAGAAATAAAAAGATTACAAAACCAGTGATAAACTCATAAATTTGTTTCTTATTTCGTTGGTATTGCGAGGATTTATAATAAAAAGATAGCTGTTTTTAATCGATTGCGCTATATTACAATACAACAATTTATATATTTACATAGCTAGGAAAGCTTTTTTTGCTACTTTGATCAGAAATCTAGTTAAAGTATACAAAAATCTACATATTTGCATTTTAGACTTTATAGTTTATATTTTTTGAAATTGCAGTCTTACTACTTTAGAATTATTCAATGTTCTTCATAATAATTTTTAATATATAATTAGAAATATTAATTGTGATTATTAGTGCATTTGCATTCACAGGGATATTTAAAGGTCCCGATTGTTCACTTGTTTCACTGTAATCATGTTTAATTATGATATGATGTCAGAAACGCGAGAAATCAATTGTACCAAATTTCGTCTCACATACTGAAATTAATTTTCGCGTGTTATTATTCACGTTTAATGGTATAAAGATTGGCAAGGTATAGTGAAGACTTCTGATCCATAAATTATATATAAAATAAATTAATAATAAATGTCATCAACTGTTATAAGTGTTATTAGAAAACTCATTTTTATTAGAAAATTAGAAATTTTTATTAGAATTAGAATGTGCATTTATCAATACAGGGGAGAGAATTTTTGATGCATTTTAATTTATATTGTAAGAAAATAGTGCATTTCTCGCTTCTGACAATTCACTGATTCTCTTTGTCTTTTATAAATATGAAGCAGTTAAACCATTAATTATACGTGGGAAAAAAGTTTACTAGCGCAACAAATTTTACACTGTTGTAGCAAATATATTATTTTTTTGTGAACTGCAAAGAGAATACTAATTTTATTCAAAAATAATATTGAAAAATCTATAAATTATATCGCTATTATAACAAATTGATTTTTTAATGACGACAATTTAGCTACAATAGTAGAATGCATTTATTAGAAACAAATTATTTTATTGCAGCAGCAAATTAATATTTATTTTTGTAAACAAATGTATTGAGCAAAATTTATCTATTCTGCCAACAAAGTAAATTTTACTAATATGCCAAATAATCTGAAAAATTAATTATAGTAGCGAAGCTTTGTTGTCGAATTTTTGCTATCGTATTTAATATGTAATATGCAGCATAACGCTTTCGTTAGTAAAATTGTTTTTTTTCATATATAAATGAAATTGCTTCTTGTATAAAAAAAAAAAAATATGATTGTTGTATGTAAATGCACCATAAATGCCTAATAATTGCAATTGCCTACTTTAAAAATCCATTTTTTTTAAATTTTTATTAGATGATTTGCCAAATTATAAAAGTGACCAAATTATAAAAGATATATTGCGTGCGTTTCTGAACAAATATAATGATTACCATTTTTATAAGTAAGATTAAATACGTAATTACCGATAATTATTTATTTCTTTAAACAATAAAATTCTCGTTAATTATGAAATATGTATAAAAAATTTATATAGGGTGCCTCTCTTAAAACTATTTTGAATGTGTTATTCTCTACAATAACACAGAAATTAATTGCTTTTAAAATGTAAATTTAAAAAATGTAAACTTTATAGTTTTGAAAAATTTTTTTTATGATCAGAGTTTTCAAGATGAGAAAATTATGATAAGAGTGACACTTTGTATATCTTTTGATTTTCAACATATTTCATTGTTACTACATTAAATAAGACAATTTATGTCAAATAGTACTCGATATGTGATCGATGTTTTTAACATACAATTAGCAGCAAATCGAAAAAATTTATAAATTTAAACAAATTTATTTGTAAAAAATTCTCATAAGATGGTGTCAAAAGTCATGAAATACTGCCTTTTCGGTTGAAATTGAATTCAATACGCTTACAGACTTGAAGATTTAATGTTTAGGCGACGTAACAGTTAATCAGTTTTTAAGTCTAAACATATATCTTTGTAAATATACATGTATGTATATTATTCACAATTATGAACGATCAATATATCCACTAATTAATATGCTTCTTATGTATCATTTTTATTATACCTAATGCATCGATAGAATATAGATACATCTACTTTTACGGACCGAATTGAGGGACTGGAAAATTCGCAAAAACTGGCGAAAACTGGCAAATATTGAAGAAGTTATAGTAATTCGTGCATGAGTAAAGTGACACATTGATCAAAGGTAATGATATCGTAGTTTTTAGTTACATCTGTGATTAATACATGCGAATCTAATTATTTGTTCTTTTTATAGTGATTATATAAAGATGTCAGTAAATTAATATAAGAATGAAATGTGAGTATCTTACGTGTGTAACTTCTTCGATTTTCTTTATTGTGGTAAATCACGGAATATTATTACGTATAATACAATGTAAATGTTCTATAATAATCAAATAGTATTTTATACAAACAATAGTATTTTATACAACTGAATCAAAAATAATTTTTTTTAATTTAATTTATTATCAATTTATTGTTAAATACCTGTTGTTTGTTTTTCTAATTATTTGGTCCAGCTTTTCTGTTGATTCGATAGCTAAAAATATGTTGAAAATGCATTGTAAAAATAAATTTTTTACATTCATTTTATAATTAGCACATATTTCATAAAGCGACTACGTCGTATTTCGTTATTTTATGCTGTGCATATTATATTTATCACTTTTATTTATGACATAAATAACTGTTACATGAAACGTGATTTATATTTTTAAAATACATTTATTTATTGATTATATTTATAACATACATAATAAAAAAATACAAAATTGCTTCATAAGATGAAGCCCAAGTCAATCAATTTAATTATTTTACAATATTTTAAATTTAAACAATATTTGATAATAATTATTTAAGGTTTTCAGATTTTTATGATTTAATTATATTGTCGTATCAATTTTACATAAAACGTAATTTTCTATTATCGTAATAGAAGTTGTAGAATTTGCGCGTAATATATTGACAAAGCATTGTAATTTTTCAAATTGTCCAATTTTCTTCTATTTAGATCTCATTGACATAGACGATTGAGGCTGCTATTTGCTTCCTGTTTACTTCGCATTTGGAATATTGATCTCGCAATATTCGTGTGACAAATATACGCGCGGTCAATTATAGCAGAAATTCTAGATTCCCAAAAGACTGTATCAAAATACGATACCACGGACGTCATAAGACTATGTGATATCTTGGTTCTTATTGCAAGTCCCTTGGTTCACCAACTTACGACAGCCTGTAACGAGAATTTCTATTCGTATTTTATTTTTTATTCCACTTCGAGCAAATCCGTGATGATACATTTTCACTTTTAAAAATTATATTAGTATTCTAATTATAGATAGAAGAAAAGTTTATTTAAATTTATATACGTACACATTATAATTAATTTTTCTCCAATATTGTATGTTAATAGCTGGATAATATCGGAAAAAATATCGCTTAATGTTATTATGCAATTACTTGAAATAAATATTCTATAGAATGTATATAACACGATGCCGTTTCCAAGAAACTAAATATTTCTTTACGCTCTAATTATGTTTCTCTAATTATATCACATCATCAATATATTGATTTCTGGTATTATTATTTTTAAAAGTTTACAAAAAAATAATTTGAAAAGATTTATAAAGATTTGTAACAGAACAATTAAAAAAATGTTATAATTATTATATTATATTGTTAATAGCTGGAAAGGATATTTTTATTATTACGAATCAAGCAACAGTGAACATTACAACAGTAAAAGAATTTATTTAACAAAAAGCTGAGAATATCAATAAAGAATAATGCTATTTTATAAATGTCAAGCGTATATTTTCTCAGAACGTTATGATCTCTAACTGGCGTAACATCTAAAATTGTTCCAATGTGCTTCAACGCAATAATGTTTAATTAAGATAATTAATTGTAACTAATAATAATCACGGTTCTAATTAAAAGTTATAAAAAGTAATAAAGCAGGATTTAATATTTTATGAAACTAGTATAAATTTTATGTTATTACTTTTTTTTATATGTGTTAGTAATTTCTATAATTGTATGAAAGATTGTTGAAATTGTAGATACAATGTGGAAACCTTAGCTGTTTAAAATCATATCGTCCTCGAATTGAATAAAATTTTTGACTTCAAGTAACATAAATCGCCACGATTTTATCGTTATTGTTGTAAGAATAGCAGTTAATCTATATTCTTTTATAACAAACGTAGAAAGTGGCGGAAACTTTCCAATAAAGAGCACGTCACTGCTTCCTGATATGTGAAACAACACCAAATATTCTTCTTTTCGTCGACGCGCAATAAACGTGAATATTAGCCATGTTATCCTCGCCCTCGTTGTTTTTTTTTCCCCTTTTCTCGCGAAAAATCTGGCAAATGTTTCACCATTTGCCGTGAGATCTGTGCGTATCCTATCCATCGTCGACAAGGGAGAGGAAGGGAAAAAAAGGACAGACGCGACTACGTGTATACCGTCGTATGTGGGTGCGCGCTATGGGGCGAGGAGTAAGCTGGGGGGTGGAACGCCTGCGCCGGCTGAAATGCACCCTATATAAGAGGCAACACGTACTGAAGCGATACTCACATTCGGAAGCCCGCGTCGCGACGGACAGGTTGATCGTTTTCCGCGAACATGGGGTTCACCAGAAACTACCTCGTAAGCCTACTTCTCTACGTCTCCATCGTCAACGAGATTCGTCAACCAGCGGTGAGTTATTCTTTACAAAGTTTTATATCTTTCTTCTTTTGATATATAGATTTGTAATTGAATTAAAATCTATGAACGTTTTTCATTTTATTTAAATATGCCGTAAAATACAATTGATATGCATTAATGGATAATTCTTACATAAAGCACCGAGCTAACAATACTTGAGATTGAAATGAAATGTATTATAGTGAATTGCCGATCCATCTTTCTTTTCTTTCGATTATCTACACGTTTTTTATAATAAATATTAAGTGAGATTTTTCTCAGAAAAATAGGATCTTACAGTATTGTATACTATCCTTTTAAACTTTTAAACATTAAATTGTGATAAAAATTAAATAAAATGTACTTTATTATATCTGGCATTTAAGATTACATTAAATTTTAGTGAAAGGTTCATTTTTAAAAGCAATTTATATATTTAGTTTCTTTTTTTTTTCAATTCTCAGTATGATTTTTCTCAAATTAGTTCCTTAGATTAGTTTTTTAAATTAATTTTTAGATTAGTTCCTTAGAATTTACGTTAAAATCTTTTATGCTTATGGAACACTAAACACGAAATTATTTTAGTTTTTACTTATTAAACTTTTTAGATTTGTATTCGGTAAATCTTGGTTTGCATATTGCGTATATTTTATGTCGCCTTTATTTTCGACTGTTAATTTTGGAGAAACGTGAAAAAGGTATATATATTTCTCTAAACCGAAAATTAATTGGAGCATGTTTTATTTGTCTTTTTTTACCGGACTGACGTTTTACTTTGATTTGAGGAAATGGTCCAGAGATTACACTTTGAGCGAATAACGTGTTTACAACGTACTTGCGTACAAAGGAATGCTGGGCAGGCACTTCGAGCATGCACTTGCAAAATCGCAATCTCGCGTTGCTTTATTGCAATGTCCAAATTGTCAGAAACGCTGTAATTAATTGCATTTTCGTCCAAAATTTATATCAGTGAAAACAAAAATATTTCAAAAATAAAGATTTAAAATCGTATCTTTAAAGCAAATATTTACGGTAACAATTTAAAGATATTTATAACGAAATATTATTAACGAAATTATATTTAAAACAAAAAGAATTTTAGATATTGATACAAATTGTCCGTCGTTCAATTTTATGGGATATAAGGATGACAGAACCTGTTAAAGGATGCTAAATTTCGAACGTATTTCCCTCTGTTATGTATGCTTATACGACCGGAAAGCAGATAAAATTTACTATTCGTTCAACTTTATTGCGAAGACGCAAATTCTGTTAGGACAAAAATGTAAACGAATAAAGATTTCTATTGTATTTCAAGCAACGCAAGTTGCAAGTCAGAAAACAACATTTACATGCTTTTGCTGCTCGAATTTTAACGTTATTTTATATCCTACTAGATCGTAATTTTTATACGTAAATCAGATGCATTGTTGTACCCGTCAGCTTCCGCATACGAAGTTTTCGGAAGCTTTACGTGATAAAACAAGCGCTATATGTCATCCACAGCGGATGATAGCCGAAAGATGCGCGCAACGTATACGCCCACTTCTCTTCTGTGCATCCGAAATATGGTGTAGATTGTGTTCCGCATAATGCTGAATTCTTGACGATCCCTTTCGGATGCCGTTTGCATTTAGATAATTCGCGGGATGTGATTTGCGGGACGTTCTTGTGTATGGAAAATTCAAGAATTCACTCTCAGAGCAGACCGTTATTCACGTTCGTTCCCTGCCGTCGATGCTTTTATAAAACCTCACAAATCTGGTATAAAGGGAATCGGTTGATCGAACGGATTACTGCTTTAAATACGTCGGTGGCACCAGTATGCCACGGATAATTGAAGTCCATCTAAAAATTAACGAATCCATTGATTGTGGCTTTGCAGCGAACCTCGGAAATTGCAGTACTTCGTAATTGGTTTTAAAGCTCCGAAACCATTTTAGAAACACAAAGTTTTTTTTTCATGTATTTAAACGCATTACATTTAATCACAGTAACTTTAAAATTGATTTATTCGTGTATTTTTTTTTCAAAGCATAAAATAAATGTTATTTTTAAAAATATGAAAGTTTGAAAAAAATCCTTTATTTATAAAGGGTTTAAAAAAAGATTTATGGAAACAGTTTTAAAGCAATTTCCTGTTTATTATAATATTTTTCTTCATAAAGCTAAATATATTAGATAATTAATTTACCGTGACATGCTAACAACTTTTGCAGCACAGATTACACAACTTTATCTTATCAGGTAGAGCATCGATAAATCTTTCTAAATTAGTTCCTCGATTCTTTGTTAGCCACAATTGACTACACTCGCATTCTAATTACGACAGATTATATGCGATCAAACAGACTCTAATTGAACAGTTTTTTACACACAGAGAGAAAGAGAGGGTCCTTTTAATTCTTCTTCGATCACTTTTAATACTCCGACGCGTTTGTCCAACCAGGAAAAACCAAGAGCCACTTGAATGAAAAATGAACAATGTGTACTTGGCTAAAAATGGGTTAAGAATTGAGAGAAATTTTAAGTAATTTAAATCTTGATGGCAAAATTTAATTCCTATTTTAACGAAACAATTATATTTTGATTTTTTTTTTAAATTCGTAAACATTTTTAAAGGTTTTTTCTCTTATTAAATATTTTTATAACTGATTACTGACATTCAAAATTTGATCCGTTCCTTTCGGAACATTGTGTACACTGGAATTCCTCAAGTTAATAATCTGCAAGTGTGTAAAATAGGAACAAATTTCGTTACTGTACGATTGCCTGTAGCACATGGTCGATACTTTGCCAAACATAACGGCGAACTAGTACAAGACACCAAGTTCGACTGTTGAACCTAATCCCGCGTGACCGAGTCACAAAGTTTCATAATATCATACTGTAAATTTGTATAGGACGCTTAGTAGGAGTTCGCAATTTCACAAGCCGCTGGCTAAATTCCTTTCTCTTTATTTTTATCACAGAAAATGGAATCCTATCTCTGGTTTATCTTCTTTGCAAATGTTTTCCATCTCGATTTCTTTCTGTATTTTTTTCGGAACTCGCGCTTGATTTTATAGTTTTCTTCTCGTCTCACATCAAAGTAAACTTTATTAAATGTGGCATATTATGTCGATGTTTACCTAAGGCGATATCATAAGGAGTCAAAAGTAAATGTGACGACAAATTTTGTATATATTAGATATTTCGTATTATTAAAGTTTACTACGTGCTTAACTGCAAATATTGATTGTCAAATTGTGTGGAAAGAAAGATTATTAACTTTTTTATTATATAATAATGTTTATGATATTAAAAATTCAGATGCATTAGTATTCATCAAAAAAGCAATTACGTTTTTAGTAAAAAAATGTTCGCAAAGTGTTTCTTCCACAAGCACAACTTTACAATCAATTGATTGTGAAAGAGTGATATTAGATTGCGTTCCGGTATGGAGGGTATAAAAAGAGACGGTTTTACAAGGATCTTTACTTCCACCCATTCCGCCTGGTATCAATGGACGTGACGCCGCGACGGGAAATGTCGCGTATAAAAAGGTTTCGAAAGTTTGCATCAAAAAGTAAAGATGTCGAGAGTCAAACCTGTTGCCTTTTATACTCATAGCCGCGGAAAGAATAGGGAATGTCTTTAAAGACTTGTCGCACAAAGCGCGTTTTATTGATTTACCAAGAGACGACGCTCCTCAAAGAAACTATTTCTCGATACCGTTGACATAGAATTTAATTAATTTCCTAAGGCTGTGCTTTCTGGCACACTAAAGTTGCTGCAATTTATTATAAATGCAAAATACATTTGCGACGAGAGAGAGAGAGAGAGAGAGAGAGAGAGAAGAGAGAGAGAAAGAGAGAGAGAGGGACGAAATTTGATTAATACAAATTGTCCTAACATAATGCATCTTGCATATCGTTCATAATAATCTCTTTCATTATATATTCGAAAAAAAAACAATCGTAAAATATACGCGAATTAAAGTTACAACGCGTTTTATTAAAATTTGGTTTATTGGAATTAATTTGCATTTTACAACGAGCGCAACCATCATCAACTGAGTGACACGTCCATAAGTAAATTTATGAGGTATTACAAGATATCTCGCGCGAACAGACTGCGGCGAAACGCGCATATGATATAGCCGTATACATTGTGATGGTTTAAATAGCAGTGGGCGTTCTTAATCGACGAAAACAAAAGCCCAGTAGCTTTCACCGCGGTATTATAGGCACTATAGAAAATGGTCGGAGTGAAGGTGTCCCGTGCGTGTACGGACGCGTCCGTGTGTAAATTACATTGTGAGGAGGCGGCGCGATCTTCCTGAAAAGGCCCTTTTGTAAAGACGCGAATTATTACTCACGATAACTCTTGCATTGTACGGAAAGAATTTGTCGCGCACAATCTAACTTTAAAATTAAATACTGTAAATAAAATGCTTGAAGATTGAACCGATATTCGAACATTCATTATAATATATCGCGAATAACTTATATGCATTGCTAGTTTGCGTATTTTATTTGTTTATTTTTTCGTCGACTAAAATTTAATCGTGAGTAAAATTTCATATCATTACGACGAAGGTCCTGTTTGTTCTTTTCTATTGCGATCAAAGAGTATGCTAGATTAAGCGTGTGAACTTAATCTCGGTCTGTTCCTCTTCTGGAGAAGTTGAGAGCACTCGCTTTGTCTCGCATACATCGCCACGTAATGGTATTAAAGGCAGTTAATCTACATTGAAGTTCTGGTAACTTCAAAGCTTCTCGATCTGTTTCGTTAGATCTTCATCCTCGCAGACAAGAATTTGCGGTGCTATCCCATGTCGTTTCAGTCCAAGTAGATAAATACAGCTATGGTCAGACCGATCGACATCGTTATTGACGTCGCTATCGTGATATTTCTCGACAGTTTATTTTTCGATTTTAACTCTATTTTTGTCTCTAAACTTCAGTTTAAATTCTAGAATAAGTCCTTTTTTTTTATTCAGTTAAAATACTAAATGTAAATTCTAGAAT